TCGTATGCACGTTCTTGCGCGTGCGCTGCGTTAACATGCACTGTCATGACAGTCACTCATGTCACTCTTTTCTAGACTTTTCCCCTCGATAACAAAAGTATAAAACTGTGTTTTGCAACCTATTTCACGATAAATGTAATGTTACTACGATGATTGGACACTTTGTTTTTCATTGTTTCTGTGTTCGTTCTTGCCTGTGACTGAATTTACAATTTAATTTAGACGGCCTAAGCCTATAATTCAATCTGAAGACTCTGTACTACTAGTACTAGACTTTACTTGCCTAACGTTATATCCATGATATGCCAACGCCTGTATCGGGAAGAATTCCTAGTCCTACTACCATAGAGCATTACCAAGACTAACGTGAGGCCCACATGTAATCCAACTCCTACCACCTACTTACAAGGTGTGCAAACAACAAGGTAGGCTAGCCTGTTTGCCATGTTCGCAAATATATGAACTGTACTGTAAATTAATATTTTGAAGTGAAAGATACCCCCAGAACTGTGGGGACCGGGTCCAACATCCACCCACAACTAGTTCTGCGGGGCTGGGGTAATGATGACCCTGTGGCATGGTCAGACCATAAGTCAGACCAGTGTTGATATGGTCGATGTTTACATGTACATTTGACATGTTTGAGCTTTTTTGAAGCAATAAGTAAGCCATTTTCAGGTTTTATAATGTTTATGTGCACATGCTCAGAAGATTTTATAAATTAGAGGGAACAAAGTCAAGACAAGAACCTTGTGTAATGTTTTGCGAGTTGTAATTGTTATTGTTGTAGACAATTTGTTCCGCTCTAGCTTTAAGCCTTTGTTCACTGCATTGCGCGGGGGCACTATAATCAACATGGCAACAGAACAGGAAATTGGCTTATTTCTCAGTTTCTGGTTTAAACTAGTCCGAGTAACTTGGACTCTAGTACTAGGCATGCCAGGGGTGTGAAAATTCGGCTTTGTAGCTGATTTCAGCATTTTTGTGTAGATGTTAACCCCGAATTTCAGCTTTTTGTACACCTGGTCTGTACAAAAGTGTGGGACCTTTTTACATTTCAGCTTTTTGCTAGCTGTTTTCAGCTTTAATTTTAAGTGGCTACTCACACCCGTACTCTACAAATCATCTTCTTAATGTTTGGACATGGTCACGCAAAGGGGCAGAGTGGACATCCGGGCGTTTTACAAAATACCGGTAGCGCATAGCAACCACACCGCGCCGATGAAAACAACTGCAGCTGCAATGATCAAAGAGAAAATGTTGTAACCCGATCCTCGGACTGGCTGGTGTGGTCACTGATTTCACTGGCGCGGGGTCCACAAGCCTTCCATTGGCTTTCCATCCCATTAATTCATTTCACTTAAAATAGCTCGTAGCCCGAGTCAAAATGCTCAGAATTCATCCACGAAACAGTCCTGACAGTCCTGACTACCCCCAGAACTGTGGGGTCCAACGTCCTTGTGGGAGCAGGGTGGACATCGGACCCCACAGTTCTGGGGTAAGCATGGTTCAGTTCAACTTTGGGGTCCAGTGGGAATCAAAGATTACAATGAAGGTGATAAGGTTTATTTACATATGGGTTAAAAAGAAATTCTGTTGAAATCAGAAATGCTTGTCGGCCTACATACATGTACATGTAGCTCGAAGTCACCATCTTCATATTGTGATTCAAACTGTACGTTAATGTCCTGGAGAAGATGTCACGGTGCGCTGGCCTAGCGGACCATTCACAAAAAGTGTGTGGTGTCTGCATTTGCATGCTGATGACTGTTTCCTGACTGACACAACATACATGTATGGTACTCGTAGCTGTGACCACATTGAGTTGTATGCCGGATGTTGCACTGTTGAGGTAACAGTCATCAGCATGCACTTGGACTACTTTTAAACCTGTTCGGGCATGTCAGGCTGCTGTTGTCATGATCATGATGGTTGTCAGGTTGTTTATGAACATGGAATACCATCAGATTGTTTTGCCAGTCATGCCTGTCATACAAGTTGAACCGTCAAACAAATAAGCCTTCCATGTTCAACTTACTGAACAAGTGGGCTAAGGCTTAACCAATGTTAGATTGAATTTTGTTGTAGGCCTTAGCTTATCACTTTCTATCAGGTCTGTGTGGTCCAACACCCTGCACTTGTCTGCCCTTATGTCTTGTTCTTTGTGTGATGAGTTTCTCATTTCTTTAAAAAAGTAACTGGAAAGAGTTTCATATCTGGACATCCCTTGACACCCTGTGCACAAACTCTTTGAGACTGGTCTGCAAAATGTACATGTAGTGTTTTCTAAGTACATGTAAATGCTTCAGTATTTTCACTGCTAAATTTTCACTGCTAAAATCTCTTTCTATTGGCTAATAAACTACTGCAAGGGAAAATTACTAATGTCCGTGTATGGAACCTTTACCAAATAATATTATTTAAAGTGATACATGTTGGCCTGGAGCTTATGTTGGTACCCCAAGAAACTCAAAAGATCCTTCAAGTTCTTCAGTTCGCTACCCCAAGAACTACATGTACATGTACATGTCTGGGGTTCGTTGCTGGCTTGCTGCGCCTCCCAGACAAGTCAGAGAGGTGGTGCTACATATAATGATGAACCCCATACATGTTGTTCAAAAGTCTGAGTAACTACAACTATATGGTCGGTGACCATGCTACTTGGAGTGGACGAGTTCAAGGGGTAATCAGTTTGCAGTGTGATTTCTTTGCACTATCAGTCAATCTTGTACTTAGTTTTGGGCAAGTTGCAATTACATGTACAATAGGGTCTATTTACATGTACATGCCACCTTTTCTAATTATGGATACAGTGACTGGAATTCCGAGTATTTTCATTACATCAAATTTCCTTGTGTACATTAAACTTGTGTAAACTCAAAACCAGATCACTTGAAAAATCCATTTTCCTTGGAATTGCTCTTTATTACTGTAGCATCAAGATGATGTACATGTATGTATGCATGGTACATGTACTACGGTACTTGTACATTGTACATGTAATTACATACACGTGTAAGTACCGGTATCAATACATGTACATGTACCTTTGTAACTTAAGACTTGAAATCAAGTCAGTAATTAACCGGGTGTGGTCCACCTTCCACGTATGCGGTTCAGTGTGCAGTTTAACAACACATGGGAACAGTCAGTGCAACTTCGCTCCCCAATATGCATGTCCGGCGGTGCCCAATTACTAATTTGAACAATCTGCAAGCCCTTTTGTGCACAACATACCGGTAAAGTATGTACATGTATGGGGCTTGCTACCAGAATTGGATGGAGCACTCTGACTTGCTAGGAATCCTGATTATATGAATATTTATTTTAGGCACAGTTTGATTGTTCAGTTGAAAGTTTATTAGCAACAACCTCAGTCTCGTTTATTGAAGAGGGTCTAACTACTTTTATCAGGGGAGCCCACTATTAGTTTACATGTACACTGGCCAAGACACACCTGCAACAGTATATCCTGTTTGAGGAGTTTGTTTGCAGTACTAAGAAGAAGAAGAACCCTAACCCCTCAGCATTTTTTCTAGAAGGCTGACTCAACACATCAAATTCGAACACCCTGTCACTGCTGGGTGGGGTGTATGTACTCAACCTGCTAGATTCCAACAGTCCTTTTGCTATATCAGTGCACAGCCCAGAAACTCCATCAGGCAGTAAACCTGTTGAGTTTTGGCTGAGTGGGGATACTTGGTCATATGAAGAATGAGGACACAGTATACTTATCCCTTCAAGATCCAACAACTGCATGGTTATACAAAATTTTTTTGTTGGAGGGGGCTCAGATTTCTTTGTGTTTATCTTTGACTTCTCTTAAAAATCAAGGTCACCAAACATACTAGAGTGATCTATTCTACTCCTTAAGTACAGGTACATGACCAAATGATCCCATTCTTTACAGGCACACACATACCAGCAGCACTATTCATCAAAAACCCAGCAAGTACTAGGCATTACCAACCATACCCACTCAGTCCAAAGCCAACCGTATGTTTTTTTGTAAGTTTCTGTTAATATTCAATTTCCTCCTTATTACCATTCACATTTACATGTAATGTAAGTCAATGTGATTTGGAAGGGGGCTGATTTAGTGAATTCCTTCAGTTAGTTTCTTTGGCCCTAGTATGTAGGCCGGGTGGTAGAATAAAAAGCCGGACTACAGTAGGTGGAACATTGTCCTATTCTCTGTAACCCTTGGTGCATAACACGTTTATAAAAGGCTCGGTGTGGGCGTCCACAGCCTCCACTCTCTTCTCATGATGACTGTGCTGAGGCAATGAAGTCCTTCCTACTTACGTCAAAGTTTTGCCCTTCAAGGCTGCGTGGGCTTTGGAAACTGGTTCGATGGTGTTTGCCCCTCACAGCTGACGGGTCCACGTAGCCGAGTTCTGGCTACCTTGTCTACAGTTTGACAGCAACATTTACCACTAGTTTGCATGTACATGTATAAGCTCAGCAGATTTTGAACAATCTTTTATTTATTTGGTTAAGCCTTGGCAGCAGCAGGCTAGTTTTTATTTCAAATAGAAAAGTTCAAATAGAAAAAAATCACTTTCACTAAAACTGCATCTGTTCAGTACTCATCCTGTCATAACCCAAACTTTATGTAGTAAATTTCAACAAACTTTGCTGTCGTAAATTGATGGAAGGGGGAACGTTAGGGTTAAAGATGAAGCACCACAAGGAAAGACTGATATCAAATTGTGAAAATAATATTTTTGACTGAAAACTTCACCATTACAATCAGCAAAAGAAGTTTGTCCATTAACATGTAAATATGAACGCCAGGCAGGGAAGAGTGCACATTCCAGCAGACTTTGAGAACACTATCCCACAGTCATAGAAAACCCAAGAAAAGTGATGGAATTTCATTTCAATTTCGGTAAAAAAAGACAGAAGTCATAGAAATTTATTTAGTTAATTATTAAAAATTTTGGGCCTAAATTTTTCATACAGTTAACAGAATGTCAACTCATAGTGAGTGGCACAAAAATGCACACAGAGAGGTGAGAATTCACCACACTTACTGACTAAATGAAATTGATGTCTATGGACCACTAGTAAAATTCTTGGGGGCTACATGTGGCCACTCAGCTAACAAGCAAATTAGGGCCGAGTCTATTCGAATATTCGACCTTCAATTCAATCGAATAACCGAATATTCCGTCTTTCCAACTAGCAGATTGTTGAGGAACAAAATCAGTTACAATAACACACACAGTTGTACATTATAATCACTATAATAGCTTCTTACGTCTACGACTATTTCCAGCCATGATTTAGCAAGATTTAAGAGACGAATAATCCTTCTTTTCCTGTTAAAAGTGTATATTCCTTTTAATTTTTTTAATGAATAGAGTACATTTTGAATCGCTGTAAGGTTTCTGTGGCTTTTCATTTAAATCTACTTGGAACAAGCATCCATAGTGCATTTTTTCTCAAAACAAAAGAAAATTCGCCCTCCCTTTTCATGAATTTTGCATTCAAATATTCAAATGAAAAAAAAAATTGAATAATCGATAATCGATCGTATTTTATGTGTACATTGTACCTGTATGTGACAGTGATTAAAGCTGACCCAAAGAACTTAACCAAGTATTGCTGTTACAATGAATTAAACTTCAGGTTTTTACTTTGTGATTCATGGCTCGGAAGGTTTTTTTATAAAATAAGCAAAGTACATGTACATGTACATGTAGCAGGCATTCACTGCGTTAATGGGACAAGTTCTTTTGTTAGGGAAATTTGGAAGGGAAGTTGTAGGGAGACAACAAAATAGGTGAAATGTCGAGTGCATGTCCCCACAACTACGGTGTGGGAGTGTATGTACGTGTACATGTGTTGTCTGAGAACCAATATTGTATCATCAACTGATATGTGTGAAAGTGACTGATATATTTGATAAAACAGCATAATCCCTTGATTATCCTGATCAACCAATTACGCTAAAATTATACATTAACAGTCTCAGTGGCCGGGTGAAAATGTGAAAAGGTCACAAGATAAGGGTACCATTACAAGCCATGTGTACATGTAAGTCTTGGACTTAAAAGCTGGTCTTAGTTTGGTATGGTTTGGTTTATTTCCATTTATCCATCTATCGTGTTGTGACATAAAATTACATGTACATTGGTTGATGCACATGATGAACAGTGGAGGGTGGCAGAAAGCTACTGCTTGTACAAGGCCAGGCCCCATTGTACATGTATATACAATTGAATACAATGAGAAAAGATAAGTGAAACAAGAAAAACTTATGATTATTATTTCAAAGAGGAAAAAAGGCATACATGTACATGTATGTAAGTATGACAGAAAATACTTAGAAACTAAAAGAAAAGAAGGAAAAAAAGTGAATCTTGTACATTTTATCTGTCAATTGAATGAAGCATTTAAACAATAATTAAGCTGGTAATAGATACAACTCTCTTAGTTAAGCATTAAATCATTTTAAGGGTAATTTCTAAGAAGGAATTCCTTACAGTGTTTTTAAAGCAGAGGAGTGACCTGTTTGGGGGTAGTGGGAAGATAGTATTCCAAAAGATTGGTCCTTGATGCCTTACAGTAGAGAGATATTTTGATGTCCTTGCCCTATAAAAGTGCAATTTATTTGAATTTCTTGTGTAGTAGTACCAATGGATATCTACATGTAAGTTCTTTGCGAAAAGATTACAAAGTGAAGTAGGTAATAATAAATGAGACTGCATGCAATTTACATGTACACTCGTACATGTACATGTACGTTTTCTTACTGTATACATGTACATGTACCAACGAACATGTCCATGACATGTATGTGCTATATACTGTACGTGTAGCATTACACTTGACACCGATGGGACCTCAGTACAGTGTACATGACAGTACACCTGTTCTCATTAGCCTTTCACAAGCAGCATTAGCACTGGACCCAATATTGTAAAAAGTTACTGCGACTGCTTGTTTATATTCCATTATGGTTTTTCTTCCGTGCGTGACTATCTTTGATTTGACTTTTACATGCATGTGACTGATGTGGCATCTTATACATGTCACATGTACTTACTCAGACCTGGCCCAAATGATTGACCCACCAAGCTGATTACATGTACATGTACATGTACTTCGGGAGGTATCCCACAATACAGTGCAAAAACATGGCAACTTAGTTGAATGTTGTAAAGCAAAGTTACTGGAATTGACTCCATTGTAAATAATTTGAATGTGAATGTAGTGGCAAGTCAGCTCCAGTCAACTATATTCTAAGACAGAATGGCAAGTACGTGTACATGCATTTTATGTTTAGATTAGATGTCTGTCCCCTTTAACTATTCAAATTCATGTTGCAACTAAAATTTAATCTATGTGTGAGCGCTTAACCTGGTGATTGCATTTTGAGTAACCGGAGACTATTGATTACCGTGATTATTATACTGTACCGGTATATGTCCACCAAAACCCATGATATCACCATGGGCATGATTGGGTAAGCATGAGGAAAGTACCTGAATGCACTGATAGTGAACTTCTGTCAATATGAAATGCTATCGATACCGATAGTTTTTCCGTAGTTTTTTTTTCCCAGCGATATTTCCGATATGATGACAGAATTATCCAAAGATTGTGCAATGTTAAGAACTTCCCTAGATCACTTGAAATGAAAACCTACATTTTTTGTAATGTTATCCAGTACTGTATCATAAGACGAGTTGTGCTTTGGAAAGTAAAATGTGAGCTTCTTGCTGTATATTTGTTCTCAGAACATTTTTTGTGAAGGGATTTTGGCTAGATTTCCAACGTGTATTTTGACATTTTTGGACAGTTTGTAAATATTACACAAGCCAAAAAATCTACAAAATGAGGGGGAGGGTACACATACGGCACTCACAATTGTGATTCCAAATACTTGTTATCATACTCAACAGTCATATAAAGTCTTGCGTCAAATTTCTGTTTGCTAAAAATGATTTGAATGGTCTCCAATTTTTTAATTTGCCAAAGGTCAGAATAATATTTTTCTCTCATTTTTGGATCATGCATACATGTACAAGAACACACACATTGTGGCGAATTCATATACATGTAGATGTACACACATAACAGATGTACAGTATTTACATGTAGGTGGCAACCATGCAAGCTGAGTCTGATGTTTTAATTTACTGGAATTCTGATGTATGAATTAATTTTCTCTAAATTGAAAAGCTGTGCATTAGGAAAACAGCTTATTACTGTGCATATGGCTGAAAAATAGCTTTTCGCTTTCCTACTTTTGTAAGTGTAAAGTTTTTGGACAAGGAAAGTGTGGTTATCTCTTTAGTCTGTCTTAAAAGCTTATGTCCACTTTGAGAGGTGGTTGATTGGAAATCAGTGTACTGTATTCAGATGAAATTTAGAAAAGAGTAAACTTACATGTACCTGCATACATGTATATCGTACATGAACTTTGCACTGAAGCTTGACAATTATGGTGGAAAGTTACTCTGCTGCTATTGATTAATTTGGAGTTTTGCATTTTACACAATTCACCAAGTGGCTTTTTCCCCCTATTTTTAGACAAATCATGACACTTTCTGAGATTCCTGCTGATGTGGGAACATTTCCCTTTAAAGTACATGTATGTAGCCAAACTTTTGTAAGTGCACACTTTTAACTAAATATGTCTGACTCTTCCCTTTTTTGTCCTTGGATTTTGCAGACAGGAATTTCACTGTAAATATTCGTTCAAGGAGTTATGTATAGTTTTGAAGGCGAGTTCAAAAGACGTCCAGTGGTATCACTGAGAGGAGCCAGTAAAAAGGTACATGTGCCATTCACATTGTCAACTTGATCATCTCTCATCTTGTACATGGATACAGTTTGTAATAAGAAAATATCCTTCCTTGTACCTCAAGCAATGTCTTACATGTACAATGTGAAGAAAAATATTTGTATGGATTTCACTTGATCAGCCATCTATCAGGGTTCAAAGCATTGAGCATTTTAGCATCAAGTTTGTTCACATTTACAGGAAAAAACCTCATCTCTTCTGCAACGTACTCAAGATGAAAGGCGAAAGAGAGAGGTAAGCAAGTAATTGTAAAAACTGAACAACTGCATCGATTGACACTCGGTTGACACTTGTATTTAACTAAACATTGATTTTAAACACTGACTTAACTGTGTTGTATCGTGTGTCAAGTTGTATGTGTCAAGTATTCTGCTCATCTCGAGCCACGCCTGTTTGAGTTAAACTGGCCATCTGATTTTTTTGTTTAACCTTAGTATATATGACATGTTAGTGTTTTCCTTCACATTTTCCAGGTTTTTTTAACTAGAAAATGTGGAAGTACCCTTTGAAAGTCTTTATTGTTGCTACTCATAGCAGTGATTTCCCATCCTTGTATTTGTACATGTACTGTAGTTCATATTCATCTTGTAGCGGAGTACTCGCATCTGGTTTTACAATCCCATCAAAATGAATTCAAGACCCACTTAATGGTTCAATTCTGCTCAATTCTTCCTTTTCAATTCCTCTTACCAAAAAGCATACATTTGTTTGAAGTTTTAGTTGGTTAACTACACCTCAACGTTTCACTTGCCAATAGGAAGAAAGAAGGAGACAGCGCAGTGCTACAACAATCCAGTCCTTTGTGCGAGGATCTCTGGCTAGACACAGACTCAAAGCTAAGCTCCGAAAAGAATGGGATGCTAAGATGGGACAGATTCAGCAAGGGGGAAAGGATGGTTCATCATCATTGCTCTTGAACAGAGATACCCTGCTGTCATTGCAGAGTCGTCTGGTCTTATTCTTCCAAGAAGATTTCGATTCAAAGAGATTGGTGAGCGCTGAATTGTTTTGTGCATGAACATGTGTTTCTGTGAATGATGAATGTAATGTTAACCTCAGACCCGACCTTGCAACCCTCGCTTCTTGTTGATTCCTCATCTCATTAAAATCTATTAATGTGATCATTGAAATCTTTAGATGTTACCAGTATCTTTCATAATCGTTCACATGTACCGGTATTTGTGTGAAAAGTTCACTTCATTTCAGAGCAGTTCCAAGGTAGCTCATGCTACATTTATTGGCCTAAACTTTGCACTGTAATTTTGATACCTGCACGGAATTAATGGTAGAGCTTTTCAGAGAGCATCTTTGGAAACTGTAAAAAAGAAGTTAGTAAAGTAACTCTGTGCCTGACTGATGCTAACTCGTATTGCAAAAAAGACTTGACAAAAATTTAAGTGCCTTTGATTTGAGATTAATGGATACCTGTTGAAGTGGTTTCGTACTGAACAAATTCATTTCCCGTTGTTAAGTATGCTGCATAGAGAAGAATTTCATGTAGAATGATCTCACCCTAGATTTGGTTGCCTTTTGAAATGTCACTCTTGAGCATCCACAAAGAAGAATTAGGTTAAGCACTCAAGACCAAAGAGGAAAATAATGATGACAGCTAGCCGACCACAGAGGAGTTGTAGGTTCTCTTATTTTTCTTCTTTCCAGTTGCTGAACATTCCAAGCCATATTTCAAGGGCCGTCAAGTTTTACATTGAGAGTTAATTTTGTGTGTACTTCATTGTAGATCCATTTATGTCAGATGTTCCTGAAGCATCAGCATCTGTGTATAGAGCTGCTTGTCCACTCTCGTGCCGTCTGGCTCCATCAGATCAGGAAAATGCTGCTGTTGTGTTGCAGGTGAGAAAATAAACCAGAAAACAGATAAACCAGAATAGAATAACTATCCTCACAATGGACATTATCTATCAAAAACCTTCAAACTTAATGTTGGATTTTGGAGTGTTTTGGGAAGTGTGGGTTTAGTAGGGGTAAAAAGCCAGATCCCATGTCTGCATGTTTTGGGAGGGGATAGGACATTGGGAACTTAACTTAGTTTCCAACAGTGTCTTTTTATGTGTTGTCAGGGGTTAAGTATTGCATGACAAATATTACCATCTGGAAGCTGTGTTATTTAAATACTTCGAGTAATAATCAAATTTGGTGAAATGGTCCTTCAACAGAAGTGGTCCATAGAAAGCAATTTAAAGCTTGAGTTATATTCTTCGTTTCTAAATAGGCCTGCTAATTTCTTTTTTTTTTTGCCAGAATGTTACCTGGTAATTCCACTGTACCGATTGCTCTACCACTGAGAATGTTGGAAGTGTTTACAGAAGGAACATTATATCATCAATCAGGGAGCCTGTCAGATATGGATGTTGACCTAGCAGTCAGTGACACACTGATCTATCTTGTACAAAATGGTTAGTATTTTCAAGTTTATTCATTATTTGATTGAACATTTTCCTAAATCCCCCCAAAATTTAAAATTCACCTGTTTTTTGATTGAATGTGTCTGATGTAGGACTGTAAGGCAAGCCATAGAGGTAGAACAACCCCACAGGCCTGTTTAAAGTCATTTGTGCAATGGTGAATGCCAGACACTATGGTCACTGGACCTTGAAGTTTTATTTATTTATTTTTGGTGCAAAATTATTATGCATGACAATCACTGGCGCACACTATCACACATTCACTGGCAAAAGGGAAGAAATGATCACACCAGCCACTACTGAACTTCCATAACAGGAATAGCTAATATAAAGAGAAATGAATATGAGGATATTTTGGATTGTTTCATCAGCTTCAAGAATCTGCCTGGGGTAGGTTTTCACACTTTTGAGCAATTGCTCTGCAAAAGTGCAATCTGCCATTGTGTTTGCTGTTATGAGCAATTTAAATGTTCAGCGTTCTATTGGTCCAGTCCTTTTGTCAACTAGTCGATAACATTTCATCGTCAACTACCGACCTCATGTGTGTATAGGATGATCACACATCAGTTTTCAGTCACATGACCATTGCATGACTAACTCTAAACTGGCTTCATGAGCTGCATGTACATGTACATCAACCCACTTACTAGTACAAATAAAGAAGATACCATCGATTTATTGCTCAGTGTTGGTTTTGAAGAAGACTTCTTGCTAAAATGTGTGAGGACTTCTCTCCGTTTATTTCCTATTATTTCCTCCATTGTCAACCTTCTATACTGTAGTCATACTTTGTGGGATCTGCAGCGGTTACAAGGACAACAGTGTAGTAGCCATTTCATAAGCTCTTATCTTAGTGAGAGAGATGGAAGCTGTGTTAAGACCAGTTTGTAAATGCTTTTACTAGTCAAGAATACTTCCAAACTGGGGAAGTGTCTAACTGTCATATACCCCTACATGTAACAATGAGGGGTCATCTGTACATTGAATCCAAACTAATCATGAGCACATTGTCATGGAATGAGGTCAAGGTACAAGGAAGGGCAGGTTGGTCCCGGTAGGACTGCTGTACATATATGAAACACCTTTGTTCATCATTGCAGGTTACTACAGATATATAAGAGCATTGATTGATGACCGATTACCACCTGGAATTGCTTACCCTAACCATCCACCATTGGCAGAAACAACACTGCAGATGGTTTATAGACCACCTAGAATGGTCCGAAGGCTACAGAATCAGGAGGCTAACAGGTCATTCATTAAGAACAGTAATAAATTCCTAATGCACACCACTATAGTTGATTATTTTTGTCACCACTATATTGTGTATTACCACTACTCATTCATGCGTTTCTCAAAGCATCTCTATTCTCTTGAGAATACAGATGTGTCCCTCGGTGGTACCATTTGATTCCAACTTGACTTGCAATTACTGTCGGCATTTTACACCTGAATGGAGAAGATCAATTAATGAAAAATTATTTGTTCAGAAGAAAGACAGTCTCAAAAGTTTTTGCTTATTATCTAAGACACTGAATGCACAGTTGCCTGTTTAATATGCTAAACCTTGTGCTTTTGGTCCACGGAATTGCTTCAGTGTTCACCTTTTGGTACAGCCTTTTTTGTGTACTTTGTGAGCATTAGTTTTTCTTGAAGTGTTGTGTAATTGGTAATATTACAAGTACAGAGGTACCAATGTGAGGGAGCATTCTGTTCACGTTATCTTGTTGCTTCTGTTCTTTCAGCAAGGTAGTTCTGCATTCTCTCTGCAAGGAACTTTTTTGTCCCAAGTTCAGTGAACCAATTGGCTCCCTCCTGCTCCCAGCTGTGACTGATGCGACACACACCTTCCCTGTCTCCAAACTACTCCAAGCCATAGTGTCTACCAGTCGAACTGAAGGAATGACTGTCTGTCATCTGGAAGCCGAGGAATCACCATGGTTACTATATTCCATGATGATAATAGTTCCACCTTCACTACGTAAAAAGAACAGCCTCTTTATTGTAATTTACATTTATGAATACCTTGGACAGTTCGAGCATTTTCATTGGTTTAAAAGCCC